CTCCATAATCCAGCGCATGTTAGCAATTTGGTCTCTAGTTCCTCTGCCCCTTCGAAATCCAGCTTGTACTTCTGGGAGTTCTTGGTCCACGTACTGCTGAAGCCTGCCTTGTAGGATTTTGAGCATAACCTTGCTAGCATGTGAAATGAGTGCAATTGTATGGTAGTTGGAGCATTCTTTGGCACTTCCCTTCTTTGGGATTGGGATGTAGATTGATCTTTTCCAATCCTCTGGCCACTGCTGAGTTTTCCATTGATGATGATAAAAAAGCACACTGGTCCTTTGATATTGGGCTGTGGCACCAGGGTAGGTGACATGACCTTTAGCCTGGTTTGTTCCTTTTTGCACACCACACATAGAATGATTAAAGTGGTAGGGCATGTCATCGCTAGAACCACTCTGGCAGCCACCTCTGCGAGCTAGCAAAAATTTAATGCAAATTGCTAAGCACGTTGGACACCTTACTACTCCCTATACCACACCATGGCTGGAGTGCAATGTGTTCCAGCAAAAATAGTGCACTTCTTTATCAAATTTGGTGCATCCTGCTAGTTCGGTACACAGCCTCTGTAGATTCAATAATATTTTTAATTCAAATAATGTATGATTTCCTTCCTTTCGAATCAAGGGGGTAATGTCAGTGTATATAAATTTTTTGCAGGGTAAAAGGTAAAAAAGTTCCCAGACCCCTGATCTATAACATAAACCCACACTCAATAATTCACATATCATATCCTCCTTCCTTTACTGTTCCTTCCTTCTGTGACTCACCTTATCAACATTTTTCTGATACTGAAAGACTTTCATGAGGCATATCTTGATAAAACTCTCTAGGGAGAGAGTTCCGCAGTTAAGATGCCATCATTTAAAAAAACTAATTAAGTTTAGATATTAACAGCATCTTATTTGATGATTCCAAAACATGAGATAACAACATATAAATGCAGGCGGGGGCGAAGTTTTCCTAATATATCTTTGACCCAGGCAGTATACTGCTTTTAAAGTGGTTGCGGTTTTTTCTTTTTTCTTTTTTAAAGTTAGTTTGTAAATAAACTAGCAACCAGCTATTTCAGGGAGCATGGCCATCATCAAGAGCTGACATTTCTCCTAAACCCCAGTCCAGTAAAATTTCAGTATATTCACTGTTTTCTGGTCCATCATGGACTTCAAACTGTAATTCAAAGATGCCATATGTAAATTTTCTACTTACATTTACATTACATTTACACAAACTAACTTTCTTGTCATAAAACCCTAAAGAGCCCGATTCTAAGTTACTGGAAAGACTGCCCCCTCCCATCTACATATACTTTCATATTTCCCCCAGTGTCAGAGGCCCTGCTTTGTATTTTGCTGCTACCTGAGCTGCAGGCAATGGGAACATGTGACTGAGCCTTCTCAGTTGTCCCACAAATCTCTTCAGAAAAGCCCACCTAGCAACAGCCTTCTCCCATTTCCTGGCAGACAGGCAAATGGTAGCTTTCCAGAAGGTCTTTTAGGGGTGCAGTGGTGTGGTGCTTGGGTACATTATTGAAGGACTTTGTTATTGCTTTATTACTTGGGGCTCAATTTTTCTATATTTTTAAGCTCAGTTTTGTATTTCTATTTTAAAATACAATTTTATGTTCTTAACTGTCACAGAGATCAAATATTTCAGCAGGAAGGCAAAAAATACATTTTATTGTTGATGGTATCAGTACGATTAGTGCAGATGGAAAGAGACAATAAAGTGTGCAGTGCTTAGCATACTGAGGACACAGCTCTCTGAATCCCAGGGCAACCCCATCCAGGTTTTCTATGTATAAAGAGCCACATCCCCTTCTAGAATCTATATGTAAGAAGGAGCAGAATTACTGCCATCACTGTCCCCTTTGCTCAGTGCCAGAGGGCAGTCCAGAAGGATGGCACTGAAACTTGCACCGAGGTGCAGGAAAATCTACAAGGTTACCCAATTACACTTTATCAGTGTGCACAGTGCATAAGGGTGACAAAGGAACTTTCCATCATTAAATTCTGATAAAAAAATGATTCAAAAATTTTGAAACTGCAGTTATACAAAGGCTGGGGCTACAAGGAGAGAGAAAGCAAAAAATAATAATTTCAGCCAAGGCTGTACCTGCAATTGGTATCTTTGGACTTTCAGGCAGCCTCCCTGGATCTGTCACCGAAGCTCTCAGAAGGGAGACAATGCAGAACAAGGCAAGCATATAGTAACCTGTAAAACAGATATTTCCATTCAGAAAACTGCAAGTATTGTATTAAGATTTTCTGAGACTACTAAGAAAACGAATTGCTTACACATCTCTGAAAAAAATACATCAGGATGTGCATACAACAGGAAACCGAAGTAGAAACTTGTACATTATGAAATTATTCAAAGCTAGATTTGCAGCCCCTTCATGGATTGCTGCCATGTTGTGGCGAAGGGGCTTGAGTAACACAGAGAAGCTATGAGCTATGCCGTGCAGGGACACCCAAGATGGACAGGACATAGTGGAGAGTTCTGACTAAACGCGATCCACCTGGAGGAGGAATTGGCAAGCCATTCCAGTATCTTTGCCAAGAAACCCCCATGAACAGAAACAAAAGGCTAAAATAGATGACGCTGGAAGATGGGCCCCTCAGGTCAGAAGGCGTCCAACATACTACTGAGGAAGAGCGGAGGACAAGTACAGTGGTGCCTCGCTTAGCGACGTTAATCCGTGCAGGAAAAAATGTTGCTAAGCGATTTCATCGCTAAGCGATTTTTAAAAGCCCATAGAAACACATTAAAAAGTGATTAATGCGTTCCTATGGGCTTAAAAGCTCACCTTAAATGAATATCCTCCATAGGGGCAGCCATTTTCGGTGCCTCTAAAGCCAGGAAACACAGCGGGGGGCCATTCTGTTTACCTGGCACCCATTTTGAAACTACCGATCAGCTGTGCGAAAATGGGCACTTTGCGATGATCGCTTCCCTGCGATCATTGCAAAGCGAAAAAAACCCATAGGGACCATCACTAAGGGATCGCTTCCCCGTGATCATGGCAAAGCGAAAAAAACCATAGGGACCATCGCTAAGCGATAGCTTTTGCGATCGTAAAAACTTCGTCACTAAGTGATTTCGTCGTTCAACAGAGCGATCGCTAAGCGAGGCACCACTGTACAAGTAGCTCCAGGCAAAGTGAATAAATCCCAAGAAGATCTGTGTTTTATAAAGTTGCTGACCCACCAAAAGGTCATTGATGGAGCAATTAGACAAGAAAACAGAGTGACCACCTAGGAGTTTGGCTTGTGAAACCACAAAGATTTTTGTGTAACTTGACAATGAAGTCATTTTAATAAAGGGCAGGGACCAGTGAAGAAGTTTTAAACCCATAAACCTTTATAAGGATTTTTTTTAAAATTACTGTGCTTCTAGACTCACTTTTGTGAGTGTGACCAAAAACCTGCTTTGACCATATTGGAAGAATTGTTCAAATGATGCCATTATGGTTTGTTGGAAATTCTTATCAGTACACCCATAGGAACAACCATTCCCCCCTCCCAATGAATTAAAATACTAAAACATAACTTTAATTCATTCTTTATAGAAGTATCCTTGTCCTCAGTATTCACAAAATGTATGCTGTGTTCCACCAATAAATCCCCAGATTCTCCCTAAGACTTTCTGATTCCTTAAACTGTTGTGCATTACTGGTATCTTGAGATACAAGCTCTGCATTCCATACAAGTGTTGCAGCAGTGGGCATGCAATGAGCACACTCAGACTGATAGTAAACCAGAAACAGCACAGTGAAAGTTAGTGGCCAAAAGCAGTCTTTGCAAGTGGGAGTGGCCCAACAAACAATCCCAGTTTGTTTACTGTGATGTCTGAAACCAGCAATCCAGGTTGTCTCCTAGGGATGTGAATAAATCTCACTAAATTATGCCTTCAATAAGACAGGATGTTTTGATATGCTGAGGCACCCTCTTCAAGAGCTGTTCTCCTCCACAGGATTTCTCATCTGCAGCCTGAGATTGGAAAAAAATGACTGCTTGCTTTTTGTTGAGTTTTCCATAGTTTGTGCAAAAGTGTCTGCACAGAGAACT